GTACTGCAGCTTAGTTTTTTAATAAAATACGAAACAGGTATTTTTTTATTACAGCGATATTGCATATTTTGTTTGTTTGTTTCTTGTTAAGCACAAAGCTATTCAGTGGGCTATCTGTGCTGTATCCACCACGGGTATCGAAACCCTGTTTTTAACGTTGTAAGTCTTCAGACTTAAAGATGAGCCACTGGGGACCCGTCTCTTATATTAGCCAAAAAAAGACCAATTTCAATATCGGTAGGTACAAAATAAAGGAAAAGAAAATAAAGAAATTAAGTTATTTTAGGCTTAGATTTCATATAAAAAAGTGTTAGAAGTCAAGGTGTAAGTGGTTCTAATGATACTTTATTTTACATTTAAGAATGAAGGTTTATTTGTTTTGAATTTCGCGCAAAGCTACACGAGGGCTATCTGCGCTAGCCGTCCCTAATTTAGCAGTGTAAGACTAGAGGGAAGGCAGCTAGTCATCACCACCCACCGCCAACTTTTGGGCAACTTTTTTACCAACGAATAGTGGGATTGACCATCACATTATAACGCCCCCACGGCTGAAAGGTCGAGCATGTTTGGTGGGATGGGGATTCGAACCCACGACCCTCAGATTGCGAGTCGAGTGCCTTAACCACCTGGTCATGCCGGGCCAAGAATGAAGGAAAATTTTTGATATGCCACATGGATTGTAAAAGAAACAGCTTTTAAAGCATGCGATTGTGAGTAGCAAAACAAAGTTAGGCTTTAAAAATATATATATAAATGTAAATTTTTTATCCATCTACTCAAAAAGATCGCACTGGCTTGTTCGTGTTGTGAGTCTAATGTCTTTACTGGATAATTATGTTATCAATATTTTCATTTTGTTCATGAAACTTGTACTTGTAATGTTGCCAAAATTTAATTATAATTAAACATTTTCTGTATTTGCATAATGTCTAAAAAGCTAACTTCGGTTGTTCAAAAAACATAAATTTTTCAGTTTCTTGGAATAAATTGATTTAATAATAATAATAATAATAATAGAAACAAAACAGTAGCTCTCTGGTGGCTAAGCTCGCGGGTTTATAACAATTGAATTGAAGGCTCGATCCCTGTAGTGGACATATCAAAAATAGCCCATTGTGCAGATTTATGATAATGAAAAAGTTGTAAATGAATATTGTATAAAAAAAATTCAAATTTTCAATCCCGTCACAAAGAAAACAAAATTTGTTTTATAATATAAAAGCCTTAGAGACATCAGAAACATGAAAATGTGAGATTTATTATGAATCGTAAACGAAATAATTCATGAACTATTTATCATTTAAATTTTATTACAGTTTGTGAAGTATTTACCTAAACATAAAATTTGTTTTCGCTTAAAAGCAGATTCTTGCCCTTTTGTCATTGCTCCAAATCTGTTTATATTATTCTGCTTTTGCGGCATTTTCTTGGGTTTATTATTTCAGTTTGTCCCTTAAAGAGGACGTTTTTACTGATTGGTAAAAACTAAAACCACAAGAAATCCGAACGGCAAATTCGAACTCATTGTTAGATGTCGAAAAGAAACCAGAGCTAGCTCAGTCACGTGACAGAGAAAGGAGTATAAAATGAGAACTGGCAACCGCGAAATTAGCCAAGGAACAAGTCCTGATTCAGAACGAGGTAGTCTGTAGCAACAGGTTGGTCCTGTGTTCAGTGAATCGAGGCCAAGAAGCTGACACATACACTCCTTTTCAGTGGTTTGATGTATCACCGTTTTTTCTAAAGTTCGACAGCTATTTTCTTTAACATATTTTATTGTTTGGTCAATCCAAGGAATACCTTGATCACGCCTTTATACAGAGAAGAAAAGGTAAGAAAACATAAGTATTCTTATCCATCAAACAACCCTAAACTAATGTAAAAATACGAAACTCTTTAACCAGAGAGCTTTCGAAAGGTGGACAAACCTTTCTTATCAGGATCGAATTTTCGAAAGCACTTAGTTTATAGGGTTTCGTATTTTTTATCTTTAATTTATTATTATTTTTGATCTACTTGTTTTCCTAATCAGATGTAATTACTGACTATGTTTTTATAACTACTTTTCGTCACAAGCCTTTAAGATATGTATCACCAAGAATTTAAACCTTTCTTTTACAGTAAATCGTTAAATTGAGTCATGTTTCAACGTTTATTAAAATAAATTTACTTTGCGTGTTTGATGAATCATCA